GAAGTAGCCTCTCTCTATCTCTCTGCGCGCATGGTTGGAAAGCAGTGTATATTTCCATATTCCAGGACGCGTGAGGGGGAGGAGGTGGTCGTGCAAGGGGGAGGAGGAGGTCGAGCAAGGGAGAGGAGCAGGCCGGAAGAGGGGGAGGAGGTTGCACGAGGGGGGGAAGGGTGTCACGCGAGGGGTAGGAGAAGGTGGGAAGAGGGGGAGGAGGAGGTTGGAAGACAATGTGTGAGGCAGGTGGTCGCGGGAGGGGAAGGAGGAGGTGGCACAAGGGAGAGGATGAGGTCGGGAGAGCGGGAGGAGTCAGACAAAAAATGATGACGGCTGTGGGAGAATCGAGGATGGAAGCAGAGGAGGAAGGAGTGATCCTAATGATGATGGCAGCAACCCTCATTGGCACGGCGACGACCACGGTGATGGAAGAGGAGGGATGGCGAGCAGGAGGAGGGGCCACAATGGGACCGCGCAGACACAGCAAGCACACACGTGGTGATGGAGGAAAGAGGAGGGGGTTGCTTTGCAGAAATTTCGACTGTCTTTTTTTTATCTGGAAAAAATATATGTTATGCACAAAAATAAACTGAACAACATTTGCCTCATCGTTACATCCAAATTCTTTACCAAATTTGAAATAAAAATAAAATACGAGAAAAAATAGTAATAAGAAAATAAGAAAAAAATTCAAAAAATGAAGAGAGAATTAAAATCAGTGCATGGTGGGTCACGTTTTAAACACCGCCATCTTTGGCGATTTTTCAAATTTTTTTTTTTGGCTTAGTCAAATGCCCTGAAAATTTACAGATGTGTTTCTCACATGATTCAAACCTCATTAAGAAAAAGTCAAAAAATAATAAAAATTTTTAGGCCCCGAAATAAATTGAAAACAAAAAGTGAAAAGAGAAAAAACTTCAAAAAAGCCAAAATAGTGAGTGGGCGAACACGTTTTGACTCCGCCATCTTTGCCAATTTTTCCTGTTTTTTTTTTAAATGCCTTCAAAATTTATAGGGATGTACCTCACATTATAAAGAACTCACACACACAAAAAAAAAACAATAAATAAAATTTCGGCCCTGAAATATTTTTTGGCGGGGGCCGAACCCCTTCAGGTTCGGACCCCGAACGGGACCCCGAACGCCCAAACGTACGGAGGTCAGCCCGGGGGCCTACGTACGTATGTGCTGCTAACCATGCATGGTATATATATATATCGTCAAACAGAGCAGCCCGGTAAACCGTAGGCAGAGAGGGAGAAGAGGACAACAAACGAGGGGCTGTGACAAACCGTTTCGTCGCAGTTTGAACTCCGACTCATGAGGAGGCTGAACCCATGGAAAATCCTACAGGCTCCAGGTTCACACCCTATCACAAGCCAGCAAACACCCATGAAACAAAGAAAGGTCTGTCACAGCCAGAAAATACACTCCAGACACGCCGCTGGCACTCTAGGCACACTATGGCCGCGTAGTGATGGCCCCGACCACTGACACTCGACCTGACCGGAGAAAACCGTAGCAGGGTGCTATTGATATGTCGTATGTATTGTCAAACAGAGCTGCCCGGTAAACCTCAAGTAGAAAGGGAGAAGCGTACAACAAGGGGCTATGTATATATATATACAGTCCCTCGTTAGTTGTCCTTTTCTCCCTCTCTGCCTATGGTTTACCGGGCAGGTCTGTTTGACGATGTATATATAGGTCCAGCCTCCTGATGAGTCGGTGAAACTCCGACGAAACAGTTTGTCACAGCCCCTCGTTTGCTGTCCTCTTCTCCCTGTGCAAGGATCAAGGTCCTCGGTAGGCCTAAGGGGCCCTGTTTGCAGCATTGCCCGCCCTAAGTGAAGGCGGGCCTGACATATTGCAAGAGGCCCCCAACTGTCAATTTCGTATTTGGGGTCCAGGCAGTTGCGACGCGCCAGTTGGTTGAGAGAAACTCAGGCCGGGCCACAAAGACATTTCCACGGCCCTCTGGGCTTTTCCAAAGAATGCAGGCCCTGGGCGTGAATCACAGCCTCATACAGAGACAGTTGGGCGACCAACCGAATGAGGCCCAGCAGCCCAGTAGCTGCTGTACACAGGCAGCCTCCTGGGGCCTTCCGGAAGCTTCTGGGCCCAGGCCAGGGCAGCCAGGTAGGGCAAGCAGGCCAGCTCTTTCCATAAAGGAAAGAGCTGTCCGCTGGCAGCCTCATTCGGTCACTTGCTGGCTGGCAGCAGCGCTGCTGGAGCGATTGCTCGCGGGCTGGCTGCTGGCATTGGAGCAAGAGGCTGCGCACGTGCGGTCGTGTGTGGGAGCGGGGCGCTGCTGAGGGCAGCGCCATACCCAGCGTCCATAGCGGGCTCGGCTTGGATACACAGTGAGGCGCAGGGGTGGTCTTCGGGTGCAAGAGAGGACAGGTGTGGGTGTTAAGTCAGGGAAGTGCGAAGGATGATGATGATGGTGATGTGAGGGCACTTACCTTGTATTGGCGATGGTCAGCATATGGGCGACATCTTCAAGTACTTCGTTTTGCCACTGATGTAAACGGTTGCTTTGTCTATTATTAGGCTGATCGTAGCTGTGTAGGAGTAGGCTGGGCGCTGAGCGCCAAGTAGGAGTGTGAAGGGACTAGACTCTTGTGTTGCTGAGGCCTTCATGACATTGGTTTTCAGTACGACGAACCTCCATTGGTGTATTATTGGTGCAATGCTGCTCTCTGGACACAGTGTGACTATCTGGCTTTTTATGTGATGGTGTAATCTGGATTTGTCATCTTGCTGTTGCTTATTTTCCTTGCAATTTGGTACCGGAGCTGGTTCATATTGCGCTTCATTGGTTC